CCAGCCCAAATTAACAAGGGCTGCGCTTTGTCATGGAGATGGTGGCCGGCTCCTTTGGCAGCGAGGTGAGGTGCGGGGCCCTTTGTCCTGCCCTGCCCTGCGCCCTTTCATCTTCCCCTCTGGGATGCGATGCTGCTGCCAGCCCAGCGCGGACCCTCGACCCGCAGCGGGACCCTCTGCCTGCTGGGCTTGCCTGGACCCACCACCCTGTCCCTCTCTTGTGCTGGCCATGAGCTCTGCAGAGCACTGCTGGGGCCAAACTCACTACAGGAGTGGCTCTGAGCCTCTCTTGGGGGCGAGTTTCCTTTGGGTTACTGCTTCCGTCTCCCCCCCCCTAGGATTGGGGCCAGGGCTCCCTTTTTGCAAAGCATCTCCAGTTTTAGGCTTGTTTCTGACTCCCAACAGCCAAGCCTCCCGCAGAGACCCTCGTGAAAGAGTCTTGTGCAGAGGCCCTGGGGTTTTCCAGCATGGAAAATAGCTCCTCACGTTCACTGGATCCGTGTAGCAGGGATGAGGCTGTCCCAGTAGGACCAGTGGCTGCAGTGGAGCAGGCAGAACATCCTGATAAATGGAAAAAACCCCAGCCCTGGTCTAGAAAGAGGAGAGAAGAGGCAGGCTGGTATTTCCTGGCCCATTTTAATCACTGAATATACCTATTCAGGAAAAATGCCTGCACCCATATCCACTGATGGAGACCCACAGGGATGCCAGGGGCTGAGGGATTCCCTCTGCCCAGGGTGGAAGGGAGATGTGACTCTGCAGCCCCTCCATGCAGCTGGGACCCCCCACTTCTACAGTTGTAGATACAAACGTCTCGGTTTCTTCTGAGGATAGAGGTGGAAGGGAAAATGAATGAGGGGAGAAAGCCATCAGCACACCGCTCCTCTGGATCAAGGGTCCGGTTTTACACCCAGTGGTGGGGCCGAGATAAAACAGGGGCTTGAAAGTGCCTCTGATTGAGTTAGACGACAATTGAGTTGATTGAATTCTGGAAAAATATCATTAGTTGCTTAGTTTGTATCTCTTAGATTAAATACATACAAAAGGAGAAATAAATCAGCCTTGTTCCCCTTGCACGTAGAGGAGCAGCTGCCCCAGCCCAGCCCCAGCCATGTGGGGATGGGCGCTGGGGTGAAAGCCCCTTTCTTGCGGTGCTTCCCCAGGTCAGACAACCAGCGAGGTCCCTTTTCAAGGCACTTGCAGACTAAGGACCCATCCTTGTGTCTCTGTCAGGTCCATGCCCATCACTGCTGGTGCTGAGTGGCTGCAGGATTTGGCCACGGTGGGACCATGTGCTGGGAGAAGGTGGGATGCAGGCTGTGTTTTCCAGGGCTGCCCTTTAAAAAAACAAGAAAAAGAGACTTTCTCCATTAAGCTTGAAAGACAGCAGAGCAGAGATGGTTTTGACACAGATAAGGGTGAAATTCTTGCATGAATGGTTTTATTGAAATCAATAAACTGGACTTTAATCAGTCTGGATTGATTAACTCCCCATCTCAGCGCAGTGGGAATAGGAAATGAATGTGCGGACTTTTTTACTATAGACATCAACAGTTTCATTGCGAATGCTATAAATCATCATACTTCAGAGGGTTGTAAATTAAGGTTCCCTCTTCTGTCTCGCCTTGTATAAACAGCTCTTGGCTTACAGTTTGAAAGCTTTTGGGAAAGAGCTGTGCGGTGATAAGAGAAAATGTTGCAGCAGGGAGTGTGAGTGTGTTGGGGGCTTCTGCGAATGCCATCCAGAGCCTGAGAAAAATCAGTGAGGCACCTAGTGACTCACTGCAGAGTCAGGCTTTACAGGGGGATGATTTTATATACCTGTTGCTAAATACGTGCCTGCTTCACCCAGCTGAGCCCAGATAACCCTGCGGCAGGAGGGACTGCGAGGCCAGAGGGCTGGTCGCTGGAAATGGGGAGTTAAAGGGATCCAAGCTGGAAGATGTCCCCAGGCTTCATTTCTCGCTCCGATGTCACCTCTTTTTCTGATCATAAAATTTTCACGAGCAGCGTGTCGGAGCCTCATGCTTCCTCCTTATTCACAGTTATTTGCAAGCTGCCCTGTGAATTGCACCCCAGCTCTATAAAAAGCTCAGGAAGGTGGCTGGAAGCAGGGGCTGGCTGAACTTTGAAATTCACCCTCTGCTCGTTAGTTATGCAAATCCTCAGATACTGCCTTGGGTCTGGCTTTTAGGTCACTAATCAAGCCGGGCCGTAGTGCTAAATATTGCAAGTGAAAGTGCAACGGGGGCATCCCTTGCGAGGGACGGGAACACGCTCAGGGTTTGTGTGGTGTCAGTGCCTGGGGTGCCTGGGTAGGTTTTGGGGTGATGGAGAGCAGAGATTCTCCAAGCATGGGCGAGTGGCAATCTGCTTTTTCATCTCAGTTTTCACTATTTGCTGCTCAGATTTCCAGCTCTTTTTGTTCAGCCCCAGTGAGGTCCATGAAAGTTGGACAAAAGAGTAGAAAACCCTGTTAACGAGACAGAGAAATGTTTTCCGTGGATGAGGGGGTTCATGCTGTGCATGGGACGTTTTGGGGTGATGGTAGTGGCTGGGGGCCGGGGCATTTACCTGGTCAGTCGCTGTGTAGGGGGGCCCCTTTTTGGGACACAGTCGCTCCCCGTGAGACACTTTGCTCCCGTGGGTCACTCAGTGTGTGCATGCATCGGGCTCCATCGCTCTTCTCCCCTTGAATTATTAACCCACAACCTGCTCCTGGCCCCAGCTGGGGTTTGCTGACTGCTTAGCCTGCTGGCCAAGGTACAGGCCTTTCAAACTTTCCTAGAATTGACTTTCCTTGAACAAAAAAAGGGCTTCCCCAGAGCACTGGCGGTACCTACGTGATGGGCTTGGCTGGCTAATACCCCGGGATTAGCAGAGGGACACTTTAAACCTCTGGCCAATGGCAGATGTTTCCTCCAAGGGACCCCTCAAGGACGCCCACCCCAGTGCTGTTAGCTTTGTGATCACCTGGATAAGTGGCTGGATCCTTCCCCCACACTGCCCCACGGCAAGGATGGGCTGAGCCCTATGGGGCTGTAAAGGGGGACAGGAGTCCCAGTGCCCACCGGGGTCCGGGGGGCCAAATCCAGCCAGGTGGTAGATCCAGATGAGCTGGATCCCAGCTCAGTGCCTCGGTCCTGATGTGAAGGCGATGCTCTGAAACAGGCTATTTCCAGCCCGCGTGCCGCCCCAGCACTCCTCACCCGCCCGCGCTGCTGCGGTCTTTGACCCGGCGCAGGAGCCTGGCTGGCGGTGCTCAGCCCGGTGCTCATAAAACCATGGGAGCAACTGAAGGAATCTGCCAGTTGCCAAAATAAAGGATTGAATCACTGCAGGGCTGGGAAACGCTCGCCCCAACGCCCAGTCCCAGGCTCCCACCCCTGCGTTGAAGCATCTCCTGTCGTGTTGCTCTGTGTCCGAGGACGTGGGGCTGTGATGGGGAACCCCCATCTCACTGCGACCACCAGCAGCCTGCCTCTCATCCCCTTGGGGTCTGCAGCTCCTGGGAGGGAGATGAGTCTGGCAGGAGGGGTGCCTTCGCCCACGTGTGTGGGTGTGGGTGCAGACCTGCCCTGTCCTGCTGTGCCGGCAGTGCGGAGTCCAGCCAGGACCAGCCTGTGCTCCTGCACACCGGTCTGTGCTCTCCGGGTCCGGCTCTTCCCCTGGGTGTTTCTGCCCCTTCCCAGCAGAGGGGCTGCCCTGCGTGGCTGTGCTCTGTGCCCAGCCCCTGGCTCTGCCTCCCAGCTCTGCCAGTCCCATAACCTTCGGGTGTGCAGCCCCCAGTCACACTCTCACTCATAGCTGAGCTTTTTTGGAAGCACAGAGCTGGATCCTCTGTCTGCAGGAGACTAGAAAGCCATCGGGACAAGTGGCATAGTTTTGTAAGTGACGCTTTTCCAGTACACGACTTACCAAG